AATTACATATTGTTTTTGTAACTATGAGCCTTCACTATGAGCATTAATCACTATGCTTTAATATTGTTCAATTTGTAACAATGAAAATACATCTTGCATATCAGATATTTACATTACAATTCATAACAGTAGCCAAATTACAGTTATGAAGTAGCAACGAAAATAATTTTATGGTTGGGGGTCACCACAACATGAGGAACTGTATTAAAGGGTCTCGGCATCAGGAAGGTTTAAGAACCACTGATCTAAGCAAAAATAATAAATTATATTATTCCTAAAAATATTCTTTTTTTTGCGGGGGGGTGGGGGGGTAGGGAATACGTTTCTAATTTTTCTCCATTAACTGACCAAAAGATTCCACAAACACTTGAATGCTTTGGTCAAAACAGTTATTTAGCTAATGACTATTTAAAACTAATTAGACTTGAATAATTCTACAGAATTGTAGTCCTTTAAATCAAGAACTCAAACTTTACAGTTATCCTTGCATCAACTGCTGAGAGTTATCAAATTTGAGGATCAGCTTGGCGCTTCAATTGATATTGATCATGAACTTACCTCCTTTGGTGTTAGAATATTTAAGTTTTATAGAATATTCAAAGAAAAAAAAACCACCTATATGTGCATCCTAGCTTTACGACTATAATAGTTTAAAAATATAAAAATAACAGAAGCTACAGGTTTTCTTGCCCCAAACAAATTATATTTTACTTCCTCTGGCTAGTGGAGGTGAGTTCTACAGTAGTGTTTCTCAAACTCTAGTGTACATGTGAACTACCTGGGCATCTTGTTAAAATGTAGATTAAGATTCAGAAGACCTGGTTAGGGGTCTGAAAGTCTGCATTTCTAGCAAGCTCTCTGTTGATGCCAAATTCATATATTGAGCACACTTTCAATAGCAAGCTTCTTTTAAAAAAGCATAACTTATAATATTAAGATGGCTATGGTTTGCAAAGCACTGGTCTTGATAATGTTTCCAATTTAATTCCCAATTGAGCAACCTAACATTTTCCCAACCTATCTTACTTCATTCCTCGTATGGATATGACAATTAATCACTCCAACATTCATAAAAGCTAGAAAACTTGTCATCTAACTTCCTTCTACCTCTTTGTCTTTATCTCTTCCCGTTCCACACGTGGGTGCAGCACAGGATTCCATTCTCCACTTTCTCTCTTCCATTCTAATGCTGTCCCTGATCACCTATAGGCTAATGCAGTGGTCGGCAAACCGCGGCTTGCGAGCCACATGCGGCTCTTTGGCCCCTTGAGTGTGGCTCTTCCACAAAATACCATGTGCGGGTGCGCACGTACAGTGCGATTGAAACTTTGTGGCCCGTGCGCAGAAGTCGGTTTTCGGAAAGGAGATAGACGAAACAAGTATACAAGACGAGTGTGGATGGGAGAGTTGGAAGGGGTTGACCTCAGCGAACGTACCTCAATCAGATTGAGGACATTTTTAGCAAAGGCCAGCTTAGGAGTACCCTAATTAAGTTAATAACAATGTACCTACCTATAGAGTTTAAGTTTAAAAAATTTGGCTCTCAAAAGAAATTTCAATCGTTGTACTGTTGATATTTGGCTCTGTTGACTAATGAGTTTGCCGACCACTGGGCTAATGGATTCAACTTCTGCATCTCCAGCCTAGACACGTCTCCCAATCATAGATCAATATATTTAACTACCTAATAGACATGTCTAACCATAGTCTTCACAGGTACCTCCAACACAAAACACCTCAAACAGAACTCATCAATACCTTCCACCCCCAAAACAGCTTTGTCAACCCTGTATTGACTTTGTGACCAGCACCACCATCAGCCCATTGTCAAAATCACATCTTAAGACTCTACGTATACTTCTCCCTCACCAAGTGCAAATAATCCCATCTTCTAATTACTGCTCAAATTTCATTTCTTCCTCTCTGGCATCAATATCAGTTTGGACATGAATTATTTGCCTGGTTACCACAGTAACCTAACCAATCTTCTTGCTTCCAATCTCATTCTCCCACTACTGTGTAATCTTTGCAACCATAACTTGATAGCATGCCCCTCTTAAAATTCACCAATGATTCCCCATTACCTCTAAGAAAAAAACACTAATTTTTTTTTAGCACATATAAAGCTCTTCACAATCTTGATTTTGTCTGTCTCTCTGGTCTCAACTCTCACCACCCCTTAAGTCAGCATGTATTCTTGCTAAATTAAGATATTCCCAGCTTCCTGAAAGTGCTACATTCTTTAGTATCTGTGTGTTTGCATAGGTAGTATTCTTTTAATGCCCTTCTGAAGCTAAGTACTCCACTCAAGCATTATTACGTGCTTTAAAATGCCTTTTCTAATCACCTCGAGCCCAAGTTAGGTAACACCACAAACTGTGCTCCCTCTCTTACAACTGCTTTCCGTATGCATTCCTCTATGCTCTTGCTTGTCAAACTGCATTATAACTGCTGGTTTATTCATCTTCTCCACTAAACTGAGCTCATCAATTAGTCCTTTTAAGAACAGAATGTGCAGTTTGTGATAGGTTCTCAATAAACATTTGCTGAGCAAAGTATCTTGAAATATACTCATGAATAATTATTATGGCTACATATTTAAATTATAACCTCTAATAATTGTGTCTCTAAGGTAATAAAAAATTCACTTTACTTTATTTTTGGCTCAAAGAACTTGATAAGACTTCACAAAACACAGAAGTCCAAAATACTTAAGGTATTCACTTAATTCCCAACAATCTAAAGGTATTTGTTAAAAATATTAGAATAGCCTCTGAATATTGTATTAAACTGAGGTATTTTCATTTCACTGATTACAGTGTTAGACAAATGAAAGCACTAGTCCCTTGTCCAATGGCTGAAGGAAGGACGGAGTGTGATAAAACGATGCACAAGTGGCCTAAGTTTGCAGTTTGCTCCCTGACTACTTACTAGCTACATAACCTTGGATAACAATAAACATCCCCAACCCTGTTTCTCTGATGGAAAACAGAGATAAAATTGTTTACCTACCACGAGTTGTGTTTAAAATATTCAGATATGAATGTGAAAGCATTTCTATAAATCATGAAGTGCTAAATAAATCTGAACTACTGTGTTAGTTCCCATCCCAACATCTGCCAATGATTCCACCGCTGCAAATCTAAAGTTTCTTAGGCTATACCAACTTCCACACCCACCTCATCCTTCTCCTCAATGACTCAGTATTCATAAATAAAATGAAGTTCCCTCACCAAGGATCATCAGAGCTTGACAATTACTCAATAGTCCTCAATATTCTCATGTGGTTAAAGTATTTAATGACATCAAATTTTTAAATAATCTGGTATGTTCTTAGAAAGTGGTTATTTTATAAATATGAAAGTAAATCTCAAGGTAAGTTGTTGGTACAGTCATTGAAATTTCAGCTCCATTGAAAAAAATCAATTGGAAGACAAAAATCAGCAGGGAATATTTAGAGATATCCACTAAAACTAACTAATATTAAAAAGTCATCATCACAAAACCAAAACTCCCCACCGCCCCAAGTTTCTGGCTTACTTCTCAGATATGCTTGCTGGTCTATCAATCAGAAGAGAAAATTTGCTGCAGCTTTCTAAACTAAAAAAGTGAAAGAGCGTATTAATTCTGCTCTCAGCAAGATCTTTGTTAAATAGGGACTTATGGGGACTATGGATTACATTAGGAGAAGTATTTTCAGTCCCTTCTGCAATATTGATAAAAATAGGATTCCTTAACTTTCAAGGGGCTATACTCACTCCTTTTTAAAAAAAAAAAAGGAAAAAGAAAAAACAAAATCTACTACAAAAGTCAGCACTTCGGTACCTGATTGTGGTAACAAGGCCAAAATCCAAGGCGAAGCCCTTTATTGCACATCGTGTTCCAACATCTTGGGCAGCCCCATCTTGCGACCTCTCCAGATTGGCTGCTCCTGCTCTCTCTACTGCAGAGAGAACTTCAATTAGAGAAACTGCGAAGCTCACAAATCTAAACTGGATACTCCCCTCATTGGAGGCAAGGATGGTAAGCAGCACTAAAAAGACTCAAGTTAGAGGAGATTTCAGATCTAAGTGGCTTGAAACCACTCTAATGCAGACAGCCGAGAGTCTTATGACGCAAGTCTATTTACCTACAAAAAAAACACCTCTTAAGAACGGCAGCAAATTATCAGATAACCTGAAAAAAACAGGTTATATCATTATAACTCTCTAAGAGTGTCACATTCTCCATGAAACGTGTGTAGAATTTGTATCTATACCACAAACTTACAGCTGACCATCCACGTTCACAATCCTTATGAGAAAAGCAAGAAAAATCTGCAAATCTAGAACATATTATCAACTGCAGTTTATGCCCTAAGATAACTTCAGTGAAAAAAAAAAAAATGTTTCGTTTAAAACCACTGGATAGGAAAGAGAGTTTCCCTGCTGACTTAAGCCTGGCTGCCCAAGCAAGGCTTCAGAAAATGTCTTCACCCACAGCAGTGCGTAGGCAGAAGGAGCGGCAGCTATGGCGGTCTCCTAGTGACACTTCCAAGTCACATAGAGAAGGGATGTTTCTGGGACAGACTGCCAACAAGTTACTGGAAGAAAAGCAAAAACCTGGCAAATAAATAGGTCAATGCCCTCGGATATTTTATGATGACACAAAAGATGAAGTTTACTAGAATTACCTTGAGGCTACCAGTTCTAAATCACACCGCCCATGCTAACATTGCCTAATCTGCAAAAGAATGCATTAGTTTTCAAGCTGGTTTTCCATGAAGACGTGTAATCATGTGTAACCGTTTATGTATAAAGCATTTCTTAGACCAAGCAAGTCATATGCCACATCCCAAAGAACTTCAGCAATCAAGATTTTTCAATTAGAGAAATAAACAATTTGAACCACATTTACCACCATGAGTTTTAAGTGTGCTGGTATGTGCTGAGCAACAAAATGAGGGTTGGCATGTACTGTAACTGTACTTACTAAATAATGTAACAATGAGTTCGCCTTACCTGAGTGTGGAAATTTGAAATGGTGGTTGTTTCGATATCTTTCTTGCCCAGAATTTCCATTTTCACTGGAGTGTTGGGGAAATTGAAAGCAAAATAGTCCAAGAAGTCCGGGAGATAAGCAGCCGCCCCATGCACTATTGCTAAAGCATAGTAAGCAGCATTTTTCTCATTTTCACTGAATGTCAAAGCAAGAAACTCCTCAGAAAATCTCTCCATCTCCATTGGAGACAAAAATGAGAGTTCATCCATGTACGCATGAAGGATCAGAGCACCGCCATTGGACTGGTGTTCCTCATGAATAAAGTTGCTAAACTTAGTACCTGTTTTTAAGAAATTTCTACGAATAGAATGCTCCTGGTGGGTCATGAAAGGTGTTTGTACTCCCTGGGGTACCCGATACTCGTGCATGCCCAAATTTAATCGGCACAGCTGTTCATCTTTCAGATACCTGAAGGACTCCTTGTTAACTCCCGAAGTGCTATTTGCTTGTCCTTGGGTGAGGACTTCCTTGCTGATGCGCGTCAGGCCAGCACAGACAGTCTGTACTTCCTTATTGTACATTTTAAGGCGTCTTCCTCGCATGTCTTCTCGGTGTTTCTTTTTCTTTTTCTTCTTTATTTTCTTCAAAACAAAATCATCAGCTCTCTGGGTTTTACCATTTTCATCTGGTGTTTCTGGCCACAATAATTAAAAAGAAGTCAGTTGCTAGGTCTAGTGTCAACATACAAACTTCTTAAGGTACTTTATATCAAACTAAGTAACCTATTCTTAGTTTCTATGAATTTGTCATTATTACAGCTTACATGTTTATAAAATGAGACAAAAATCTTAAAATACAATAATATTCTGGTTTGAGGATTATGCTAAAGAGTAGATAATGCAAAGGTCAGCATATAACTTAATATAACCTGCAATCAAAAAACAAAAGGAAATAGAGAAGTTATTGATTTCACATATGCTATGCAGTATGGTAACCACTGTAAAATCTACATTGGAGCTCGTCGTATTTTGCTATCAGTTACACATTACTATGATACACATAGGTGAATCAAACAAAGGCAAATTAAGCTGTAAGACACCATTTTGCCTACAAAATTGGCAAAAACTTTTTTTTTGCATTCTCATGTACTGTTGCTGAAAGTATAAACTAGTACAACTTTAATGAAGGGCAATTTGGTACTCTCCAAAATTAATATGTGCCAAAAGCCTTGAAAATATTTCTAATTTTCAGACCCAAAAATTCCACTCCCAAGTAAAAATTACCTAAGAAAATAACTGAAGACACATTAAGACACTGTGACAGTACTAGAGGCCCGATGCACAAAATTCGTGCAAGAGTAGGCCTTCCTTCCCCCAGCGGCCAGCACAGGCTTCCCTCTGGCACCCGGGACCCAGGCTTCCCTTGCAGCCCCGGCTTCCTCCAGAAGGTCGTCCGGAAGGATGTCCAGTCTAATTAGCATATTATTTAGGAAATCCCCCAATTGTCTATTAATAAGATACTGATTAAACTCTGGTACTTACATATGATAAAATACTACCCAGCCATTGTAAATTATACTACAGATGAAAAGAACTGACAAATTACAAGGTTACAAAATGCTTACATTGTCACTCTTCCAGAAAGCCTTCTCTTAGTAACTCCTACTGTATGTTTCCTATTACTATACTTCTCATCACAGTACTTACCACATTCAGTGCTATTATTTAATTTTCCACCTTTCCTCTAAATTGTAAGCAATCTACTCTTTCCAGAGCAGCTACATATGTATAAATCTTATCCCATTTTTATAATATTAAACATTCATCATTCAAGCATTTATTTATTTAGTACCTATTATGTACCAAGGACGCTTCTGGGCACTAGGAATGTGGTATTAACTAAGAAACACATGATCCCTACTCTCTTGGATCATACAATCTAGTTGTACAAGAAAAAGGAAGTTATCAGTAGGTTACTCTAGATCAGTGATGGCGAACCTATGACACGCGTGTCAGAGGTGACACACGAACTCATTTTTTTGGTTGATTTTTCTTTGTTAAATGGCATTTAAATATATAAAATAAATATCAAAAATATAAGTCTTTGTTTTACTATGATTGCAAATATCAAAAAATTTCTGTATGTGACACGGCACCAGAGTTAAGTTAGGGTTTTTCAAAATGCTGGCACGCCGAGTTCAAAAGGTTCGCCATCACTGGGCTAGATGCTGGGGAAGCTCCTTTGGGAGATGACATTTAGACTAAGTCTTAACTAGAAGAGAAGACAAGCATGTTTTTGAGAGAAAAATATTCCAGGGAGAAGCGAAGTACCTAAAGAGAGGAAAAATTCTGACTTATCTATAGGTATTTTGTATATATACAACACAGAACAATATCTGGAGAAATATATACCAAAGTGTCAATGGTAGTTATCTAGGCTGGCAGGATCATAAATGTCTAGCTTTCTTCTTTTTTACTTACATGTATTTTCCAACTTTCTACAAAAACATATATTATTTTCATAATTAAAAAATGTATTTTTAATTTTAAGGGACTGTCATGGATTGGCAAATCCAAAATAGAATGGCATCTTTTATTTACTAGTTGGAAACTATATCTAGCAAGAATTCTTTAGGATTAAATATCAGGTATTGTCCTGACCCACCTTCAAGCACGTTGTGGTATGTACTGTATAGATTTTATCCAGCCAACTATAGTATTTCTGACACAATACAACTAATTCAGTGCTGAGATAGCTACGCCCACTAATCCTGTCACTATACGTGGGAAGAACAAGCTCAATAAACTTTACAGTAAAAAATTTTCTTGGTATAAAATATGTAAATATATGATAGTTGCAGTAGTCTATACAAAATCATTCTAATAACCAGATACACAGGTTATAAAATCTTCTTAAAAAAATTTTTAAAGTGCAAATCAAAGACTTTAATATGATACCAAATGATTTTCATTCTATTTAATACTTGCATTTAAACAATAAAAAGAAAACCATCTGCAAACATCACTTGTAATTAAACAGATCATTTACCAACATATACATGTATTACTTAAACTGACAAGACAAAAAGCACTCTTTTTTTGGAGGGGGTGGGGGGATCATTTATCCTCACCTGAGGATATTTTTTCCACTGATGTTTTAAGAGAGAGTGGAAGGGAGGAAGGGAAGGAGGGAGAGAGAGAGAAAAATATGTGAAAGAGGCACATTGATTGGTTGCCTTCCCGCATATGCCCTGTCTGGGGCCCCAGACTGGGGAATTGAACCTTCAGTGCCCAGGCAGACACTCTAACCATTGAGTTACAATGTCCAGGGCAAAAAAAGTAATCTTTTAGCCCTGATCGGTTTGGCTCAGTGGATAGAGCGTCGGCCTGGGAACTGAAGGGTCCCGGGTTCGATTCCGGTCAAGGGCATGTACCTTGGTTGCAGGCGCATCCCCAGTGGGGGGTGTGCAGGGGGCAGCTAAACGATGTTTCTCTCTCACTGATGTTTCTGACTCTCTGTCCCTCTCCCTCTCTGTAAAAAATCAATAAAATATGTTTTTAAGAAAGTAATCTTTTATTCTACATACAACTAAATATTTGAGTTAATTGAAACACTTAGTAACAGTCATTTATATTTCTTACCAAATAAATTAATCTAAATACTTTTCCTATATATCAAATCAATAATTCAGGCAACTCTCCCAAGCAATTAAATGTTAATGCCATTAAATATAAAGGTTAAACCAATTTTTTATTTTATTTTTTTAAACCAATTTTTTAAAAATTATCTAATTACCCGATGCTAAATGTTTAGCAATTTCACAGAAAAAAAAAAATCTCTGAATAGATCCTGTTATTTCAAGCTTCAGAGGATGTATTTGGTATGCAGAAGATGAATTGTGACCTAGATCCAACACTGAAATTAACACCAAAGAGTTGCCTTGATAGTAACACATTTTCTATATTACTATCAGATTACCAATGGTACTTCTAACATGGCCAAGTCTCTGTGGGTTTTATTCCAAAACTCATTATAGGAGAACCATTCAATTAATTCAGCATGGTCCATCTCAAAACAACCACCACATAAGGAAATGAAAAAGCCCTAAATTGGTTTTAATCTCATATTTCAACATGATAAAAGTTTAAAATGTGAAATTTTATTCACTAATCCCGTTTTTCAAATTTTGATTTTTATCTAAGGCTGAGATAGAGAAAGCTCACCTTTGATTATAGAGAAATCTGAGACAACTTGTCACACTAGCTGATGAATTTCCATGAATAAACTAATATTAATTTTAAGTTATTATGGTGGCAACTAATTGAGAATGGCACACATATACAAAGTTGTTAAAGGTTATTATACTAACTTAGCCATCACTGCTTCATGAAAATGATATCAAGGTTGCCTTGCCTTGAATTAAAAATGTTATTTAAAAGTCAATGTTTCTGCAATATAAATTATATCAAATCAGTATGTTGTACATCTTAAACTTACACAATGTTATATGTCAATTATATCTCAGTTATTTTAAAAAATCAATGTCTAAAGAATGAACCATCTTTCCTTTTCTGGTAGAGTGTGTTAGTGGTCCAACAGAGAATGTATTCAGGCCAACTATACTTAAATAAAAAAACAGCCTGAAACATTATATGTTATTTATATTAGGTTACAAAGTCAGTAGGTGACAACCAAGATTCAAACTCTTGCTTGTCTGACTCCAAAACTCAAACTCTTCCAATACACTCCGTTCTGTTCTCTTTCTGCTTCTCTATCACCTCCTCTCGGCCACACTCCCACTGGATGATCAACTACGATGACCTCATCACAATCAGTGGACTTGAGGTGGCTTGGAGGAACCTCCAATAAAGGGCGCATTACTTCAACAAATATTTTATGGAGTGCCCACTACATAATTCTGCATGATCATAATGATAGCATTATGTTATACAAAAATACAAAAACTTTCATGGCCTTAAAGGCTTTTTTGCCTCTCTGAGTAAGGAAAAGTACAGTCCCTGAAGTGGTTGCTCTGATAAGTGAGATTATCTGTTTACTTCAGTTCTCTGTATAATCCCGAAGTAATTCCTCACTCTTATCACCAAGACAATCAACTGTTTCTGGATTTAACATTCCTGCCAGTAGCTCTTTGACATCATAGAAACTTTCAATTAGGAGTTTGCCCTCGAGACACTCCCTGTGATAGCACAGCTGACCAAAGATGAAAAAAATGTGAGAAAGGAAGGCTGACTCACTGGAAATACATAAAAGCAACCCTGTCATTTAATGACACTGGAGAAGAGAGCTACAGGAATCAACTCACCCCTTTCCTTTTTAAAAAAATATTACTACAATAATAAATTTAACCAAGAATAATTAAAAAGAAGCATTCCTTCCTTTGATGGGTTTTGTGGAGGAAGTCTGTTCTAAGCTTTGAATGCAGCTAAAAGGGAGAGGGAAAAAATTAACATTTCAAGACTCAGGTAACTCAGTTTAAGACTCAAGCCTGTTCCTTACAAGAAATAAAAAAAAGATTTTATATCTCTTAACATTTAGTATCTTCTAGATTCAGTTCTATCACTTTCTAACTAGAAAATTTTAAGCATGTCACTTTACCTCTTCAAAAATCAATTTCTGTACCATTTCCTAGATAAAGCAAGTTTACCTTGGTATTTAGATTAAACTTTCATTTCA